GATCTGCTCGGGAGCCTGGCCCATCCGCCACTGTCACTAACCTGCCACTGTCACCAACCCGTGCCTGTGTCCCTGTGAGAAGAAGAGGATGGAGGACCTGGTCTGCGCTTCCCTTGCTTTCTTGCCTCCTCCCCACAGCCATCCATGAGGTTCAGGGTGGTGACTGGTTAAGGCCACACCAGCTGCCGGCACCGTCTCCTCCTGCCACCCCACCCCACCCCACCAGTTTGGCTTCTGCTCCCCAGCTCTGTCCATGGGTGTCAACAGTCTTCTCTCCTGACAAGTCCAGTGTCCCTTCACCTGTCATCTTCCATGACCAGAGACGGCACTGCATGCGCCTGACAGCTCCCTGAACTGCTCCCAAGGAGCTCTGCCCTGATCTGGGTCAGCTACTTCCGGGACCACCACTTCCATCTCTGGCTCCTGAATGCCCCCTCCGCCTGTCCTTCCCAGGACCTTTCCAGGAGAGTCAGGAATCCATGACCGTCAGGCCAGGAGAGAGAGACTGGAGCGGGTGTGCAGCCTTGTGAAAAAACAAGCAACCCTCCCCCAGTCTCTCTCCGCATCTCCCATAAAGGGATAACATGGCTATTGCCAGTGTTAAGATGCTGTTACACTGTTACAGCCACAACAGGGACAAAAGGTCCATCTCCGGATAGGAGCATGCATGCCTGAGAACTTGGTTGGACCGCATCGCTCAGAGAGATCTCTCTGTCCCTCACTGGCACTGGACATCAGGGGGGAAGAAGGGCTGCAGGGTGATTATGAGCCTGAGCTCAGCAGACAAACTGCTTGAGTTCAAAGCTTCAGGCTGTCATCCTCGGGAAGTAAGTCTCAGGCCCCGAGGTCCCCACAACCATGAGGCAGCCAGTGTGTGATGTCCCTGACATCAGAGATTTGGCCACGGGGACTGATGAAGACCTCTGGGGGCAGGGAACCTTGAGGAAAGGGCTAGGACCTCAGGCCAAACCACCTCTCCCCAGGTGGCAACTCCCCTTCAGGCCCGAGGGTGGGACCAAGTTTGTTCAGCCTATCTGGCCCTGCGGCTCTGCACCTCCTCCAGCGCGAAGCAGCTCAAGGCCCCCGCCCGGCCCAGCGTCATTTGCAGAGCTCCCTCGGGCTCCAGGAAGAGGGGCTGGTTTGGAACAACAGAAGGACTACCGCCCCTGCCCCCACCGCCCCACCCCCAGGCCACCGCAGGGGGTAGGAGGCAGGAGGCTAGAGGCGAGGCTCCACGGCTGGGTGGGTGCTCCTAGAACCCGGGAAGGAACCAAGAGAATGGAGCCGGGAATTTACCGACATGACGTTCCCTAGGGAGAGAAGCTGCGGACTACGGGCCGGAGTGGCAGCCCGGCGGGTGGGCCGTGACGGTTGCTTAGAGACCGCTCCTCGAGGCTCAAGCACCCGTACGCCCATGCGGGGCAGGCCCTTCCGCCCCGCCCACCAGAGGGCCCTACCGCCCCCGCCCGCGGCCCAGGGCCCACGGCCCGAGGCTCGGACCGCGCCACTCACCCGGCGCCCAGCGGCGAGGAGACGGCGCGCGCCGCACCTAGAGCCCGGGCCGCCGGCCCCGCAGGCCCGCCGACAAAGCCCGCAAGGCATCCCGCACGCCGCGGCCGGAAACCGGCCCCAGGCCCCGCCCTGGCGATTTCCGGTTCCGCTGTAGGCGCCCCGAGGCCCGCCCGCCTCTCGGCCGTGTGTTCACAGCCCGGCGCGGGAGGGGCGCGGAGGGAGTGAGCGGCGGGCGGCGGGCGGCGGGCGCAGCCCGGACCCGGCACGCCGGCGCGTGGCGCGTCCCCCAGTGTAAACGAGGGGCTGGTTTCCGGTGAGCCGTCAGTGCCGACGCTGAGAGCCGGCGCGGCTCGCGCGTCGCGGCAGAGGCCCGTGCCCGCTCAGTGTGAGTCTGCAAGCACGACCTCTGCACCTACAAATACACATGCTTGAGAGCAATGGGGAGTGTTTGGTAATGCAAAATGTACGAACTTCATGAACACTACGCTAGTACGTGAGGACCTCTGGAGCCACGAGCTGCTGCATAAAGATGTAACTGTCTGTCTAGACGGCGGCTATACCGCTGGCGGCTCTGGAGCCTCATCTCTCCCCTTCCCGAGGCCGTTCACCTGGGCAAGCTGATTAGAAAGCCTGGCTGTGCCCTGGCCCGGCGGCTCGGTTGGTTGGAATGTCGTCCCGTACAGCACAGGGGTTAGGGTTTGATGCCCGGTGGCAACGGATTGCTGTTTCTGTGTTTGTGTGTCCCTTCCTCTCTAAAATCAATGAAAATATCCTCTGGTGAGGATTAAAAAAACAAACAAACCTGGCTGTTCCCTCCTAGTCCCTGCCTGCAAGTGGCAATCCCACCCCCGCCCCAGTCTGTTTTATGCGCTCTCTCGGGCCATTCTCTGAGCACTCCCCTGCTGCCCCCCTGAAAAGCCTGCTTCTCTTAAGCACGAAATCTTCTCAAATCCTCTTGGTGCACGCGCATGCGGAGTGGTGCGGGATAACGTGTGCGTGGCGTCACAAGTCCACATGAGAGCCACGCTTTGGGTGAGGGTCCACCCGGCTCCCGCAGGATGGTCGCAGCAGAAACGGAGGGCCGTCCTCACCACTACGGACCCCTGCTTCCGTGTACAGGACCAAACTGCACGCGGAGGAAGAAAGCGCCGACTCATTCCGGAAGCAGCATGTTTCCGACTCCAGTCAGTTTCAAGGTCGAACAACTGCAAAGGTTCCAGGCGCCTGGGCCAGTCACCTCCTTTTTTCTTCTTAAGACACATCGGCGGCAGCGCCAAGCACAGACCTGGGGGATAGAGGCGCCCGTTAGTGTGTTACTCGAAGTCCTCTGCAGGGAGGGCCCAGGGCGCCACTGCCCAAGTCTTCGGTGGGATGCGGGCTGTCGTAGGAACAGGAGCGTCCGGGACAGGGTTCTCAAGCCTGCCCGCAACAGGCCTCCAGGAGAATCCATTCAAGTCAATTCCCTAATCTACCCAGACACGCAGAACCGGAACATTCACGCCCAAACCCGTACCCGCGTGTCAGGCAAGAATCCCAGGTTTGCCAGAGCAGGTAAAAAAAGAAGGCGGGACCTAAGCACGCTTCCGCGACGGAAGAGGCCCTAGAGACGGGGTGGGGCGTGGCCTGAGCGCACGCACTCAGGAGGCGGGGTCGGAAGCCGGCGCAGGGGCGGGGCTGGCCGCGTGAGCGAAAGGGATCCTGGGCCTGTGGAGCCGCTCTGGGGGAGGATTGAGAAAGGGGCGAGGCCTAAGCCGTGGCCGGGCGTGGGGCCTGTGTGGACAAAGGAGAGGGACACTTTGGCTGGTCCTCTGGGCTGGACATTCGTGGGCGTGCGCTCAGCCCAATGCAGATGCGACTCCTGGACCACGCGGGCCTGCCTTGGGTGCCCCCTGGACCCGGGCAGCACCCGGACCGGCCTGTGGGCTCCACGTCTGCTGAAGTCCCTGCCCTGCAATCTGGCCCGCGCTGCGGCCACCAGCAGCGGCCAGGCCCAGACGGCGTCGTTCGGCTTCTCCAGCCGGGTCAGCACGGCGCCCACCCAGCTCCACTGCTTAATTAACTGCTAATGAGCCGCACGCATGCGGGGAGTTCGGCCGCGCTGTCAGGCCCTTCACGCTGCAGCTGCATCGCCACCAACGGGTCCACAGAAGCGAGAAGTCCCTCGGGTGCGAGCGATGCGGAAAGACCTTCACCTACAGCACCCTCCTCACCCAGCACCAGCGGTTCCACACCCGGGGAGGCCGTTCTGGTGCGCGAGGTGCTGGGAGAGTTTCACCAAGAAATAAAGCTTTAGATCACAAATCCCACTTGTGCAGTGATGCAGCTTGGACTTCAACCAGTTAAGCTTTGAGAGCAGCAGCTGCGAGGGAGAAGGCTTGGGACCGGCTCCAGGTCTCTATGGAAATGAAAGGGCCCCCCAGGAGGATGGCCCATGGCCAGCTGGGCAGCGCCACAGCAAGACCAGCCCAGGACAATTCTAGTCATCATTTGGTTCTGGCAGTTTCTTTTCAGGTTTTTTCTTTTTTAAAATAATGATTTTATTTATTTTCAGAGAGGGGGGAGGGAGAGAAACATCGAAGTGTGGTTGCATCTCCCACCGCCCCCTGCTGGGGACCTGGCCCACAACCCAGACGTGTGCCCTGACTGGGAACTGAGCCGGTGACTCTGGTTCGCAGCCATGCTCAATCCACTGAGGCACACCAGCCAGGGCACAGAGATTGCGTTTTATTTAAATTGCTTTTTTCAGCCAGTTATTCTACAAAAAATAAGCCTGCATAGTATGAATGTTTCGTGTACAATAATAACATTAAAAACTATGAAAACACACGGTCTAAACATGAAATCAGTTACATGAAATAAGCTAGTGGTAGTAAGATCGATATGAAAATTAGTTGGCCAATGCTGCGCAAGCATCAAGGAGCCAAAGAATGTTGTGTTGGGACTGTTGTGCATTAGCGTGCCCAGATCACCCACTGAAATCTCGGCATTCCTGAAGTCTGCCTGCCTTTGGCCAGGGGACCGCGGGGAGGCGACAGTGTAGGGGAGCCCCACCTGCCTCCAGCTCTGCCTGCGGCTTCTTTCTGGAAGTCTGCATGCAGCCACCATCGGGCCTGCGGGCGCAGAGCGCGAGCGCACGGAGACCCTGGTCCCACCCAGTCAAGAGAGCGGCCGCGGGGTGGTAACTGCCGCTCCTCCCAACTAAGGCTACAGAGCTTCAGCGATGTGCGGCCTCTCCTCTCGTATTCCCGCATCCTCCTCAACAGGGTCATGCCCCGCACCTTTGGCTTGGTTGAGGCGGTCGTGGCCCGGGCACCCTGAGGTTAACGTGCCTGGGTCAGCCTCCCAGGACCCGCCGCGCGGAGGCGAAGCCGGTGAGGACTACATTTCCCAGGCTGCTGCGCGGTCCCGGGTTGCACTTCACGGCTTCGCTGGGGCGCCTCGCGAGGACTCCATGTCCCAGAAGGCCACGGGAGGACCACCCCCCCCCCGGGCCCGCCCCCTCCACCTGGCCCCAGGCTGGCTGCTGGAGACTTAGCCTGCGCCGGAAGTAGCAATCTGGACGCGGAGCAGGTGTGAGGTACAGGAGAGACCCCTCGGGACACCGAGGGAGTCCGGGGAGGGTGCGGTGTGGCCAGCCGGGGCCTGGGGCCTGGGCTCTGGGCACTCCACGGTAGCCAGAGAACCCTGAAGGGTGTCGGGACCCCGGGGACATGGGACAGGGATGACGGGCGTGGAAGGGTACCTCGCTGCAAGATACCTGTGGGCGAGGAGGGGGCCGGGAAGAGACGTAGGCGTGGGAAGAGACCCGTGGGCGCGGGCAGGGATCCCGAGCATGAGAGGGTCCTGGGGGTTTGGGAGGGGACCTGTGGGCTTGTAGGTGACCCTGGGCCTAAAGAGACATCTGAGGGAGGAGTAGGGGGGCTGGCTGCACTGGGGTCTCCCCCACTGGCCTGCTGCTGGACTGCCTGTGCGGTTGGGATACCTGGGCAGGGCCCCTCCCTCCCGTTGGGGTTGGTTTGGGGCCTGCAGCTCAGTCAGAGCCTTCCCACAGGACTTAGGCAGATTTCCAGCCCCCAAGAGAAGGTGCTCGAGGGTGGTGGCACCCCGAGGCCTGGGGACAGGTGGAACTTGGGACAGGTTCTCTTGGCTGGGTGGTAGCCCCATGGCACCTGAGCATCTGCGGGCAGAGGGCTGGGAGGAGGGATAACGCAGGCCAGCGGGGTGTCTCCGTTCCCCAGGAGCCACCCCCTCCCTGGGGGCATTGCCCTGGGCCAGGCTTCAGACAGTTGTCGCCAGCCTGGCCCAGCTAAAGGCCGTGACTCTGGGCAGGGGTGTCTCAGGGGAGCAGGGTTCTGCTGGATGGAAGTTCAAGGGCCTCAGCCTCACACCCTCTGGCCCTACAGGTGCAGCCAGCATGGGTGAGCCCCAGGGGTCCATGCGGATCCTAGTGACAGGGGGCTCTGGGCTGGTGGGCAGAGCCATCCAGAAGGTGGTGGAAGATGGGGCCAGGCTGCCGGGAGAGGACTGGGTGTTCGTCTCCTCCAAGGACGCCGATCTCACGTGAGTGGGCCCATGCCCGGGGCAGGCCCCGCGCCCTCTCCAGACAGAGGGCTGCGGGGCGAGGCCTGTCCCCAGAAAGCCCGGTGGCTTCATGGCTGCGCCCTCCCTGCCAGGTGGCTGGTGTAGCCTGGGCGTGCACAGTTCCGCTGCTAGGCAAACACCCTCCCGTATCCTCCTGGAAGCCCACGCCCTCACCGCAGCCAGGGCCTGAACTGGCCACCTTCCCTCTTGGCAGCCCATCCTGCCGTTGGCCCCACCCAGCACCCGTTCCCCATACCCCACCCCCAGGGTGCCAGTCCCCTGAGGCCTCAAGGGACCCTTGATGGTCCGGTTACCCCCAGGGATGCTGCGCAGACCCGAGCCCTCTTTGAAAAGGTCCGGCCCACGCACGTCATCCACCTTGCTGCAATGGTGGGAGGCCTGTTCCGGAATATCAAATACAACTTGGACTTCTGGGTAAGTGAGGACCCCCACCGAGCACTGGGAGCTGGGTTCTGGGAACTTCCTGGCTGGCTTCCCCCTTTCACCTTCTAGCCTCAGGAAGTCCCTGGTGATCAGGGCTTGACACAGGCTGATGGGGAGCCCCAGTGACCCCCACTTGCTCTGTATGTAGGCAGAGGGACATGCAGGTGGACCTGGGGCATTTGGCCTAATAGAAAAAGCCATGGAGATGGCCAGCTGGTTAGGGGCTGAGAGAAGACAGGCTGGTATTTGCCATGTGACCTGGGGCTGGGCCCGGCCCCAGAGTGCCCAGACCCGCCTGCACCCAGCACCTCTCCCGTCCAGCTGCCCTGAGCTGTGAGCAGGGCTCTGGGCTACAGCCTGTGCCCCAGGGGGTGGGGCGTGGTGGAAGGACCAGAAGGAGAATGGGGCGCTTCCGGGCTGTGTCCCAGGGCGGGCCTCACCCTCTCTGGGCATCTGCTGGCCTAGGTGTGGTTCAGCCCCAGACCAGGCACTGGGCTGGCAGACTCAGACCAGGTTCCGCCCAGAGCCCCGCATATCAGTCACAGCCTTCCCAGCAGGCCTGACCACCCCCTCTCCCTTCTCCCCTGACCAGTCCAGTTCTCAGAAGCGGGGGCGGGGCCCTGAGGGGGTGGGGCCCATCCAAGGCTTCCCTGTTGCTGGGTAGTGGAGCCCGGTGAGCTCCTCTGGGGGGGTGACTGGGTGGGTCCCTTCTGCCCCGGGGCCAGGATGGGGTTTTTGGGTGCCTTTCTGCCCCTGAGTTACTTGCCCTGCCCTTCACAGCCTCTGTGGCTAGGGCCTAGCCCCGAGCCAAGGGGTGGGGAGGCCCAGAGCCTCCTACTGTCCTGGGAGGGGGCTGCCAGCTCTGGAAGCCACAGGCCGGGAAGGGCAGAGCCGTTAGGAGAGGCAGGCCCAGGTGTGTCCCCACTTCTGCCCCTGGAGGAGCGGGTGAGGGCTGGGGTCCTGCCTGGGGGGCCTGAACCTGCCATCACCCCCCAGAGGAAAAACATTCACATCAACGACAACGTCCTGCATTCGGCCTTTGAGGTAGGAGCCAAAAAGGTGGTCTCCTGCCTGTCTACCTGCATCTTTCCGGACAAGACCACCTACCCCATTGATGAAACCATGGTGAGAGGGCGTGGCCCTGCTGGGCCTGGGGGCGGGGCCGGGCCTGGGGGCGGGGCCGGGCAGCAGCGGCCTCCTCTGCTTCCCCAGATCCACAACGGACCACCGCACAGTAGCAATTTTGGCTACTCCTACGCCAAGAGGATGATCGACGTGCAGAACAGGTCCTCCTGGAGCCTGCCCAGCTGAGGCCAGCCGGGAAGAGGGGAAGAGGGTGGGGGGGGCGAGGTGTAACCCCCGCAGGGCTCCCAGGCCCCATCTCCCTCCTTTGCCGGCCTCCGGTTTCCCCGTCTGTAGGCGGCCAGGGTGGGGCGGGGCGGGGTGAGGGGTCCCGGAGCGAGGGCCGGAGGGACGCTGCGCTCCCGCCCGCAGGGCCTACTTCCAGCAGCACGGCTGCACCTTCACCGCCGTCATCCCCACCAACGTCTTCGGGCCCCACGACAACTTCAACATCGAGGACGGCCACGTGCTGCCCGGCCTCATCCACAAGGTGCACCTGGCCAAGCGTGAGTGCCCGCCGCCCAGCGCGCTGGCCGGGCCGCCCTCCTGGTGGGGTCCCCGGGGGGTCAGCTGGGCGGCGCGGGGCTGGCACGGCCTCTGACGCCCGCCCGTCCCCGAACCCGCAGGCGGCGGCTCGGCCCTGACGGTGTGGGGCACGGGGAAGCCTCGGAGGCAGTTCATCTACTCACTGGTTCGTGCAGGGGGTGCGCCGCCGCCCCCAGCCCACCTCCCCGGGCCTGCCGTTCTGGCTGTGGGGGGGGATGGGGGCGCCCGGGGGTGGGTGAGTGTCTGGGCCATGCCCTGGCGGAGCAGCAGCTCGACCTGAGTCCCTGTAGGCGCCACCCGGCCTCCAGGGGGCAGCTCTGAGCTCAGCGGGAGAAAGGGTCTGGTCCATGGAGCTGAGGTGGCCAAGGACTGCCCCAAGGGAGGGACCCCGCTCTCTGGGCTGCGCCCCCACTGGATAGGGGTGCTTGGGAGAGGTGGCCCCTGGCCCCATGTGGCAGTAACCGAGGGCCCTTGGCCCTGCCTGTCTGGCTCTAGGACCTGGCCCGGCTCTTCCTCTGGGTCCTGCGGGAGTACAGCGAGGTGGAGCCCATCATCCTCTCAGGTGGGCGCCTCGCAGCCCCAGCCCCACTGCAGCGGCAGGCGTCCGTGGGTGGTGGGTGGCAGTGGGGCCCGGCGGAGCGGGCTTGACCTGGCCCTCGCCCCTCGGTCGTCACAGTGGGCGAGGAGGACGAGGTTTCTATCCGGGAGGCAGCCGAGGCCGTGGTCGAGGCCATGGACTTCCGCGGGGAGATCACCGTATCCTCCGGCTCCGGTGGGCACCGGGGCCTCCCGGCGTGAGGCTGCGGGCCTGGTGGGCAGGGGGTGCTCACGCTGGCGGCTGGAGGGCGGGTCTGCGGTTCCCCGAGAGGCTCCACAGGGAAAGGCAGAGAAGGTTCAAGGGCAGCCTGGGAGGAGGCTGGGGCCGCCCTTTCCGTTGTGGCCTTGACCAGGCGCCCAGTTTGATACGACCAAGTCAGACGGGCAGTTTAAGAAGACGGCCAGCAACCGCAAACTCCGGGCCTACCTTCCGGAGTTCCGGTTCACGCCCTTCAAGCAGGGTAAGTGCCCTGCCCCCCACGGCCCTCCGCCCTCGCCCCTCCGGGCCTCTCCGCTGCCCCTTCCTAGGCCCCGGCCCCCGGCTGCCGGCTGGGGGTGGACACCTCGCAGGCTGGATCTCCAAACCCTCATCGGGCGGCAGGGCACCGAGGGGTGACCACCCCCTGCCTCCCGCGGAGGTCGGTGCTGCCCCGGCCTGGCCCTCACCCGCCGCCCCCTCACCCGCGCCCGCAGCCGTGAAGGAGACGTGCGCCTGGTTCGCCGACAACTACGCGCAGGCCCGGAAGTGAAGCGCCGCGACCGGCCAGCCGCCGGCCCCGCCCCGGAGACCCCGGCCGCCGCTGGCGGGCAGAGCCCGGCGGCGGCCACCCTCGCCCTCAGACCCTGCCAGGAGCCGAGGGCGCTGCCCAGCAATGTGTGCCCACATTCCACCCCCTGCCCCAGGGGGGCTCCGGCTGCTGTCCGCTGGGGCCGCCCTTCACGTTGCTCCTCAGGGAAACCACGGCCAGGACCGGCCCGGCCCCGCGCGGCACCTTGCTCCTCAGCGCCAGCGCCGGGTCCCGAACGTGCCCACTCGCAATCTCGCTCTCCCACTCCTGGGAGCCAATAAAGTGCGTTTCACAGACCCGGCCGTGGCAGCTCCGTGCCGGCTGTCCCCTACACTGGGCATGCCTCCTCGAGCACCACCAGCTCCGGGGAGCGCCGTCCCGCTGCTGACGGCTCAGCCCAGGGTGCCCTGCTGGCCGGGGTGGGCACCTGTCCCTGGGTGGCAGAGGGGGAGACACGGAGAGAGGCAGGTGTGGGGGCCGGAAGCAGGTGTAAGACGGGGGACTGTTATCGGGGCGGGGGGGGGGGGCGGTGCAGGGCAGTGTTTCCTGCTGGGGCCCTGGGCCCCCAAGGGCTTTGCTCGTCGGCCCCAGGACTCTGCAGAGGGAGGCTGGTCTGGATTTGGACCGGCCGAGCGGTAAGGATCTGAGGGGACGACGGCGACTGGGTGCCGTGGCCTTTTCCTGGGACCCAGGAGAGAGCTGGGCCAGGCCTGGCCCTCATCTCTCTGCCCCCACTCAGGTGGCAGCTTGGGTGGTGGGGCCCAACCTGCCCTTGTCCCGTGGACAGTGACAGGAGTGACACGGGGGACCTGCTGGGCCTGGTGGGCAGGACCGTGAGTGGCGTGGACCTCCCGTTCCCAGCGGGAGCTGGGCGGAGTCCAGACAGGTTGAGTGACAGCTTCCCTCCCCCAGCCACTGGCGCTGGGGTGTGGACCCCCAGCAGCACCCAGCTCCGAAGCCCCCTTCCAGACTGCCTCGCCCGGGACCCAGGCATCTCCCCTGGCCTGAGGCCCGGCTCTTCTCAGGGCGGCGGTCGCCCAGTGCCTCCTGCCACCTTCACGCTGACGATGCCCAGCTCTCCCGACCCAGATGTGGCTGCCACACCCGCTCCTTCCTTCCTCCATCCCCTGACGCGGCACCGCCTCCCGCCCGGAGCCCAGCCTACGGCTCCTCTCGCTGCCCCTGTCACCACGCCCCTCTAGGGCAAGCCCAGGGGTTCATCCTGCCGGCCGCCTGGGGCCGGCTGGCCCCGGACCCACTCGCGTCATTGCCTCCCAGCCTTCTAGGCCTTGGCCGTGGTGGCCCTTGCCCTCTGAACGCTCACCCTGCCACGGAGGGCCACACTGCCCCCAGTCTGCCTGTGTGGAAGCCCCTGGGGGGGCCCCCTCTCTCCCCACACCTTGGAGCTTCAGGACCTGGGTCTCCCCTTGAGTGTGACCCCCGGCAGCCAGCCCTTGGGAATGAGAGCCGTCTGTGTGGGGGCGCAGGGGCAGGGTGGAGGGCGCGGCACCTGGGTCGGAGCTCGGACCGGCCAGGTGAAAACAGTGGGAAGGGGCCGGCGCAGGGTGGAGAGGCCTGCGGGACACGCCTGGCAGGGCACACCGTCGTCTGTCCTGAGTCCCCTGGGCTGTCCTGTGTGTGTTTACCGAAGAGGGACTGTCTCCCCCGATGGAGCGCGGGTCCTCAGGGCCGGAGTGCTGCCGTGCAGCTGTCCCGTCAGCTGCTGTGTGGCCCTTGTCCCCGCCCAGAGCAGAGCCCCACAGTGTGGGGGAGGGGGGCAGTGTTGATTTCGTCGTTGAAGAGCTTAGAAAACCAAAGTAGAGTTTAAAAGAGACCAAGATATCCTTAAAATGTGATTTTAGCCTCGGTGAACAGTAAAAAAACAAACAAAACCTCCTACAATCTTGGATCTTCAAGCCTTAATTTTCCCACGTCAATTAAAAATTACAGGAAGGCTCCCCGCCCTCCCCATCAGTCTCTAGAGCGGCCCCTGGCCAGGCACTCCATCTCCCTCAGAACCAGCGAGAGGGGCCGGCTCACTGGTGGGGTGGCCCCATGGACTGAGCACTGGCCTGAGGACTGGAAATTCCCAGTCAGGACGCATGCTTGGGTTGCCCGGGTCCCCAGGTCAGGGAGTATGAGAGGCAATAGATCAATGTTCCTCACCCTCTTTCCCCTCTGAAAGTAAATAAACACAAAATTTTAAAAAAGAAAAAAAAAAGCCCCCAGCCTCTTCCCTGCAGTGCTCCGGGAGGCCCACGGAAACCCGGGTCTGGGCTGGCCAGAGGGGCTCCCCACAGGAAAGCTGGGCATCAGCTCACACGTTTCACGGGCCGTGCCGCGCTCGTTTGACTCTGCCGCCAGGCGCCGCTGCGGCTTGGGCGGGAGCTCGGACCAGGCAGTCCTGTTCTCCCCACCCGAGCCCACCACTCCCAGGCTCTGAACGAAGAACCAGGGCACTCTGAGAACACTGCTCCCGCCCCCACCCGGAGCAACCCGCGTGAGGCTGGGCAGGACCCCATATCCCAGCACCTGGCCTGTCGCGATGACAGGCCAGAGTTTGGCCCCTGCCCTGCCTGTGTCGATCAATTTCCATCGTCCGGACACACCAAGGCTGCCGGTTCGACCCACCAAGGTTGCGGGGTCAATCCCCCATCAAGGCACATACAAGCATCAGCCAATAAGTGCATAAATATGTGGAATAACGAGCTGATGTTTCCCTCTATGTCTCTAAAATACATTTTCTTTTAAAGGAGGTTGGGTGGAAGTGGAAGGAGGGTACATGGTAATGAAAGAAGTACAGTAAAAAATAAGTTATTAAAAATAAAGATGTCACTCCTGCAAGCTCAGATGCACAGCGGCCACCAATCGGTGGCCTCCAGGGTTCTGCAGCGTCCCCACGAGGGACACCCACCAGGCACCGGCCTCTGGGTCGGGGTCGGCGGAGACCCCATCCTTTCCGACCGCTGGCTTTGAATGGAGCTTCTCAAGCTGCCCTTCCGAAAACTGATCTGACCTGCACACGGGCGCCCAGAATCTGCGCCCAGAATCCTGCCAAGGCTCGCCACGGCCTTCGGCACCGGGACACGTGTTTTCGCTCCGCACGATTGCCGGCCTCGCCCCTCGCGAGTCCAGTCCCTGAGACTTCCCCGCCCTTGCCCCCGCCCACCAGAGCCCTGACGCAGACTTTCAGACCAATGAACAGGGAGGGGGCGGGACCAGTAGCTAGGAGAGGCGGAGCGTGCGGCCCCCGTAGCCAATGACGACGGCGGGAGCGAGGCAGCGTAGCCCATTGGCGAGCGGGGGGTCGGGGCGCCTTGAGGCAACATGGCGGCGGCAGTTGGGGAGCCGGGGTCTAGGCGCGTGGGCTTCGTGGGCGCCGGCCGCATGGCGGAGGCCATCGCGCACGGCCTCATCCGAGCAGGTGGGGCGCCGCGGGCGTGGGTCGCAAGGAGGCGTCCGAAGCCGGCCTGATGTGGGAGGGGCGGGCATGCCTGGCTTGAGCTTTCCAGCCCAGAGGAAGGAATCCTGCAGGGCCCCTGGGCGGAGCCTGGGCAGCCGGGGTCCTGCGCGCTGGAGTCCCAGCGTGGTGCGGGGCCGGGCGGGTGTGGGACGGGGCGGATGCGGACCCTGCTCTCGGGACGGCTTCCTTCGGAGAACACGGCAGGAGTCTTAGAGTCGGCTGTCTCCAAGCAGCCTCCAGCCTCGTGTGGCCCGTAGAGCTCTTGAAACGCGGCTGGTCCGCATTGAGAAATGCTCGGAGTGAGTGGAATAAAATCTGCATCTGATCTGGAAGATTTAGCACACAGAAAGGAAAAGTGACATCTCTAGTCGTTCTTAATATTGGTTATGTGCTGGGAGGGTACTGTTTGGGGGCTAAATAAAATAGAATACCGTTAACTTCAGCTAGTTCTTCTTACCTGTTTCACGTGACTGCTGGAAAATGTAGTTGCACGGGTGTCTCCAGCGACCTTCTCTTGGGCAGCGCTGGTGCAGAGCCTGGGATCTCCAACCACGCCTCTGGCCTTGGTCGGGTTACTTGGCCTCTCTGAGCCGCCGATTCTTCTTCCCTGTCTGTTGCCAGCTGCACTCTCGGTGGCCAGATCATCCCTTGTGGAGAACCTGGTTTCCTGCAAGGGCTGACAGTGCCGTCTTAACCCCACTCCACAGCAGCTAGAACCCTTTGTGCGTAGGCAACGGTCTGCCTTCCTGCCTGCCCCCGGACGTCCAAGTCCAGAGGGGTCACAGCCAGCCACCAAATAGCTCAGTGCTAGTCTCAGGTGTCTCACCTGAGACTGCCCACACCCGCAGCTGCCCAGCTTCTGTGCTGAGCTCGGTGCTGGCATGTGTGCGGACCCTGCTGCCCTGATGGATCAGTTCTGGGTTCTGCCTCTGCTCGGACATCCCCACACAGACGCGCTCTCTCCCAGGGACGCTCGGCCCTCGTTCAGCCTCCCTGCCCCCCACGCCCCCCTCCTCTCTGGACTTCCAGTCCCCGGGACCCCGGGGATCTCTGTCCTCTCAAGATGGGGCAGGCTCTTGGCCCCTGCGTCCAGCAGGGTCTCTGGGCCCAGCAGTAGCAAGCAGTGGTGGTGACTGTTGAGCAGAATTAAAGGGATCTGACCGCTTGGTCCTGGCTGCACGGAGCGCCCCTGCTGGGCTGCTCGGAGAGCCTCAGGCCAGCCCAAGGCCGAGACGGTCCGGGTGTGGCTGACCCTGACGGCCTTCAGTAAGAGGCAGGCCCGGCTGGCTCCTCCCCTCTTCCTTCTGCCCAGCCTCCTCACTGACACCGGGCCTTTGCCTTTCCAGGAAAAGTGGAAGCCCGTCACGTGCTGGCCAGCGCACCAACCGACAGGAACCTCTGTCACTTCCAGGTGAGCTGGGGACCAACTCTTTTGAATTGAGGCTTCCCACAGGGACCTAGGGTGGCTCTAGCTCCTGTCTCTCTGAGACACTTCTTGAGGCCAGGGAAGTGCTGCTGATGTAGCTAAAGTTTGGGACCGCCTGGGCTGGGCTGGGCTGGAGAAGGGAGGTCAAAGCTCAGAAGGAAGGTCAGGGTTGTGCAGGGCCAGGGCAGAGTAAAGGAGTGTGGTGTGTGTACACGCGTGAGTCTGTACATGTGTGTGTGTGCATGCCTGCGTGTGTTGGGGTGGGCAGGGACGGTCATGGGCGCTCACTGGGCTTGGAAGGCTCGCAGAGGGGCTGGCGTCGGGTGTCTGTGAGGCTCAGGATTGGGTCCTGAGCAGCACTGGGTGGTCTGGGCGAGTCCCGGGGGTGGTGCAGGCATTTGCAATGGGAGGGACCCGCGGGAACACAGGGTGCTTCCAGCCAGAAGGGCAGTGGTCTGGGAAGATGCCCGCTCACCTCGCGCTGGTCCCTGCGTTCCCGGTACAGGCTCTGGGCTGCCAGACCACCCACTCCAACCCGGAGGTGCTTCAGAGCTGCTCGCTCGTCTTCTTTGCCACCAAGCCCCACGTCTTGCCAGCCGTCCTGGCAGAGGTGGCCCACGCGGTCACCTCTGAGCACATCGTGGTGTCTGTGGCTGCTGGGGTCTCTCTGAGTGCCCTGGAGGAGGTGAGCGGCTGTGGGGTGAGGTGGGGATGAGGCTCTGACCCCCGAGTAGGTGTTCTGTCCAGATTCAGCTTTCCAGCCTCTGCCACCCTAAACCAGCCCCACCCTGGGCTCAGCAGGGGTGGGACCAAGGGCAGACGGCCTCCTGGCCAGCCTGCGGAGGCAGCCAGGTGGCGGAGAGAACTTGGGTCCGGGTTTCTCCTGGCACCACCCCTGGGAAGCAGGGGTGGGAGCCCGGCTGAGGCATGCGCCTGCCCTGCAGGCCAGCCGCACGGACTCCCTGACAGCAGCCTCTCTCCGGCCAGCTGCTGCCCCCGGCCACACGGGTGCTGCGGCTCTCGCCCAACCTGCCCTGCGTGGTCCAGGAGGGGGCCATGGTGTTGGCCCGTGGGCGCCATGCCAGGAACAGTGAGGTCGAGCTCGTGCGGTCTCTGCTGGAGGCCTGTGGGCAGTGCGAGGAGGTGCCCGAAGCCCAAGTGGACATCCACACTGGCCTTAGTGGCAGTGGCGTGGCCTTCGTAAGTGTTGTCTGGTCCCCCGTCCCCCACAGCTGGCCCCTGGCCAAGCAGTGGCGTGCAAATCCCCGAGACCGCCCCTACCCTCTGGTTCTGGCTGCTTAGTCCTCAGCTGCCTGTGAGCTTTGCTTCCCCCGCTGCATTCCTGCTTTCCTGGGCCTTGGAGCTGGCTCTTGGCTGACCCCTGGGCTCAGGCCTCAGCACTGGGCCCCGACTGGCGGCCAGCACTCCGGACCTTCTCCAGGCCGGTGCGCGTGCAGGGGGGCGTCGGCTTTGACACCGCTGCCCCCACAGGTGTGCCTGTTCTCCGAGGCCCTTGCTGAGGGGGCCGTCAAGATGGGCATGCCCAGTGGCCTGGCTCACCGCATCGCCGCCCAGACCCTGCTGGTGAGTGGCTCTGGCCCCGGGGGAGCAAGCGAAAGGGGCTGAGCCCGAGGGCCTCCTGGGAGCGGCGGGGGCGCGTGGCAGAGCCGCTGCACGGTGGGGCCGAGCTGGGGAGTGAAGGGGCTGCCCACCTCCCCTGAGTCACTGCCCCCGACGCTCCTCTCCCCAGGGCACGGCCAAGATGCTGCTGCAGCAGGGGCGGCACCCTGCGCAGCTGCGGACAGACGTGTGCACGCCCGGCGGCACCACCATTCACGGCCTCCACGCCCTGGAGCGGGGAGGGCTGCGGGCAGCCACCATGAGCGCCGTGGAGGCCGCCATCTGCCGGGCCAAGGAGCTCAGCAGGAAGTAAGGAGCGGGTGCCGGACGAGGGCCTCAGCCCCCGGGTGCCTGGCGCAGCCCGGCCCCTCCCTGAAGACTGCGGTTCTCTGCGATCCCCAGGAGCCCTGCTGGATGCACCCTGCTTCCCCCACAGGAAACTCGAGGGGGCTGGGGGGGCCCCTTGGCGGTGGGGACCCCCGCCCTGCCACCCAGGCACAAGGCCTCGTGCTGATGGCCCATGTGGGGCGCCCCTGGCAGAGACGTGAGCAGAGCTCCCTGCGCAGCAGTAGCTGTGCAACTGCAGCCGGCTCGGGGGCGGGGACAAGGGTGTCCACGGGAGACCCGCCCCCTCAGTAGAGCCAGCGGTGCCGGGCCGTCACATCTGCCCTGTCCCTGGGTTGGCCTGCGGCTGGGTTGGGGCTGCCCCATGTTGGGAGGGTGGGCCTCGGCCAGCAGGGGCCACATGCTTGGCTGCAGCTGGGTTGTGGCCCCCCCCGCCCCGACCCTCAGCTCCTGGCAGGTGGCAGATGGAGCTGGCCCTGATGACCCTTCTCGGTCAGAGTCCTCGAGGGTCCCAAGGCCTGGCCTCTGACCGCAGGACCTCACCTCCAGCACATCCCTGGATGGACCAGTAGGCCAGGAATGGCCCAAAGCAAGGCTGCAGAACCTCTGGGGGGGGTGGGCGCCTGCAGCTTCCTCCCCAGCACTGCCCACAAGGCCTCTGGGCCTCTTCGCCCGCACAGCCGCCACTGCCCCCACCACTGAGGCTTGGGGAGAGGAGCCTGCCTGTGGGTCGGGGGAGACCCCTGCGCGATGGCGCCCTCCTGCTCGTCTGCCCTCCACGCGGTCGTCTCTGGCCCCCGCCCTGTTCCCACCGTACTTTGGTCTGACCCTGCGTGGGCCTGAGTCCGACCCCACACCCGGTTTCCTTCCTGGGAGGTGGGAATAAAGCCGATGAATGTCCTGTAGCACAGAGTGGGCAGTATTCGATGGCAGACCGATACAACTGGATCCTGGGGCCCGGCACCTGAGAGCCCTGTGTCCACCACCAGCCGCCTGGCAGTGGGTCCTCGTGTTGCATCCCTCTCACTCCTGAGGGAGCAGGGTGGGCTCAGCCCGGCAGGCCGCTCCCTGGACAAGGGCCCGGCCCAAGAAGGGGCCGGATCGCAGCCCCACTGTTTGCCAGCCAGGTCCCACCTTCCACCACGAGGTTAAACTGGCTCCTGGGAGAGCCTGGGGCCTGTGGTCACACTTTCTCCGGCCTTGTCTGGTGTGCAGCGAGCGAGACAGTCCAGGTGCACGTGCTGGGGCGGAGCTGCGCCAGTGAGACTTTACAGTGGGGCGCACGTGAGGGCGGCACGTCTGACCTTTGTTAGAAAGTGCACTGGGCCCCTGCCCCGGTGAGCCCGGGTGTGAGAGGGCCCCTCCAGAGCGTGCAGCCCAGTGTCCTTCCCAGGATATGCCACTGGTGTCAAGCCTCACTCGTGGCCACCCCCATCGTGGGCCAAACTACGCCCAGGGCCCTGCTCCCACCCGGGCTCCCCACGGCCTTCCCTGCCTGCACTTGGCCCACGGGTGGGGGTCCCTGGATGGTGGGCCTCTCAGCTTGAAGGTACACCCCTTCCTCTCGCCCCTCAATCAGATTGCATCTGCCACTGGGGGCCAAGGCCCAGGCACCCAGCCCCTCCAGGCAAGGCAGGGCCCCTCTGTGGTCTGGTCTTGCCACACCCCTCAAAACATGCAGGCCAGGGGTGCTTTCAGCAGAAGCCTGGGCACATGCCCCCTGCCTGAGGGCCCCTGTGTGGGAGAGCAGTGGCTGTCACCGCCAGGGGTGTACCTCGGGGCTGCAAGGCAGGGGGGGAGGGGCTGATGGCTTCATCCCCAAGCACCCCTGCTGCAGGGGTCCCCACACTGCATCCAGGACTGGGTAACCCTCCAGGGCCAAAAGTTTTGGGCTTGCAGACAGTGGATGAGGAATTCGAGCAGCATCAACACAGACCCCTCCCCAGTGGCACACACCCCCTCATGCCCGGGTCGGCACAAACCAGGATGGCAAGCTCTCATGCCCACAGGCCTAGCAGGTGGCTGCAGTGAGGCTGCCAGCTGGGGTCCACTCCCGCCATTCTGCTGCAGAGGCACGCCTGGGGGTCCCACAGGAAGCCTCTGGCCGGCCGCCCATGGTCTCACTGAGCTGAGTGGCTGCGAAGCGGCAGCACTGGGATTGCAGTGACCTGCAGGTGCGACGGCCCACAGGGCCAGGTGCCTGCCGCCTCCACCCCACCGCGCACACGGCACCGGAGCCTCCATTCCAGGCGGGGAGACTTGAGGGGCCCCTGTGCCACACCTGACTGGCATTCGAACTAGCTTCTTAGGGCCCCAGGCTGGCATGGACCAGCCTTGTTTTACACAGGGCCACGGGGACAGGCCAGAGCCGCCTCTCGGGGTGCAGCCTGGGCCCCGGGCAGGAGGGGCTGGTGCAACGTGAAGCAGCTCGAGAGGCGGCAGGAGGCCCTGCTCCTGCCGTGGGCCTCACTGCTGACCCCAGCGCCCCCGCCCCGGCCCACGGATCGCGGGTCGGGGTGGACCGGAAATGGGGCCTTGGCCAGAGCCGGCAGCCTGCGGGGCCCCTGCCAGGGCTGCCACGTGGAGCCTCAGGGGCACCCTCACTCGGTGCCCACCTGGGCCAAGGCCTGCCTCCCACACACCCAGCAGGCTCCCAGCCCTGGGTCCCAGCCAGGACTGGGAGACGGTGTAAAAGACAGGTTCCTGAAGCCCTGGGCCAGATCGGACTGGCAAGGGAGGTGCCGGTGGGCCCCGGCAGGAGCGGCTGCCCTGGGCTTGGCCAGCCAAGGCCCACGTCCCTTGCTTCCAAATTCTCCACGCCTTCCTTTGTCTTTCAGATCTGAGCCATATTATTACATGTGTGTGTTTGTGTGTTTTGACGGGTGGTGGTTCCAAAGTTTATGTTCTTGAACTGGCCGGGGAATTGCTCAGGGACGCCCTCTAGCGCCACCCCGAGGTGCAGCCTTTCCACAACCACACCGCCTGTGCGCAGCCTCCTGGACACTACAACCACAGGGGCAAGGGGAGAGTGGAGGGGCAGGCAGCACCTCACGGCCGTCCCCTGCTCCTCATGAGGGTTCTGGGCAGCAGCTTGGCAGAGACAGCCCCCAGGAGGGCCAGGCATCTCCAAGCCTCGGACCACCAGCAGGGATCCGCGTCCAGAGTGGACAGGACAGCAGACTGGCTGTGGGAGAGCTGGGCCAAAACACAGACGGCTCTCGCCCCTTCATGCTGTCACCCAGAAGTCTGGCTCCTGCGTTCAGGCACACCCTTGACTGTGCCAGAGAGGGGAAAAGCCCGGGGGCGCTAAGGCACGGGAGGGTTGTCCCACAGGGCTGTCGGTGCCACGGGACCTGCTGTGGGCAGGCGGATGGCCCTGGGCCTGGACATAGTGGGCTGTGGCGCCTGTCCAGTCACTGGTCAAGTCACCAGGGTCCAGCGGCACGCCGATGCCAACCCCATGGAGTAAGAGTTCAGAACATGTATTTTCTCAACAGGAAAATTAAAAGTCCAAGTGGAACAGAAGTCTACACCCCTGGCGTCAGGTGCCCACGTGTGGCTGACTCCGTCCTCCCTCCCCAGCCCAACCCACCCCGCCCCCCGAGTATCTGTAAAAATGGACGTAATGCAATAGAAACAGAACCCCGGGGGTGTGCTTCCCCACCGAGGTCAGGTGGCACGAGAACCACGCAGCACCAGGACTTGGGGTGAACAGGGCACTGGGCAGGAAGAGGGTGGGCTGGAGGCCTCAGTCCTGTGGGGCCCGGGAGCTGGTAAGTGCTGTGGAGTGTGTGAGAGTCAGGCATGTGCGGCAGGGGCCCAGGCTGAGGCCACAGACCCCATGTGCTTGCCCAGGGAGGAGGAGCATGAGCCCAGGGCCTCTCTTCCAGCCACCCCCATCCCCGCCCCGGGAGGGAGCCTGGGGTACCACTGGAGCAGGATGACCCTTCACCAACAGAGCTCCTCCAAGCCAGGCTGAGCTGGCATCCCTGTAACCCCTAGCCTTGGGAGGGTGACCCCAGGGGAGGGGAGGAGGGCAAAGGGGAGACTCCCTCCAGGTGCAGCAGGACAAAGGCCCCTGGGGGGCCAACAGGGCTGGTTTGGTCACACCCCATCATCAGGGGCTGCAGGCGAGGGCCCGATGCCCCCCAGTCTCCGGGCCATGCTGATCAGTGAGCGCAGCTGCACCAGCTTCAGTGGCCCCACCTCCTGGGGGTCCTGGCTCTCCAGCCACCGCAGAGCTGTCTCCAGACCCTGAACAGCCTCCCCAGCGGTGGGCACAGCAGCCTCTTCCTCCTCCTCCCCACTCTCCATGACAGAGGATAGGCTGACTGGGAGTGGAGGGGCCACAGAAGCCAGCACTGGTGGCCGGCCAGGGCCGGTCTCCTCTCTGCAGCCCTCGGGCAGCCCCCCATCGTCGTCCAGGTGCAGCCACTCGGCCACCTCCTCCGGCGCAAGGCGCTTGTAGGCCAGGGCTGCCAGGTGTGTGAGGTCACTGAGCACCCTGCTGTGCTCAGCCGCCTCCTCCGCCTGGCCAGCATGCTGCCCAGCACACTCCTCCTCTGGCCGAGGCTCGAAGGCCGCCCGTAAGCCCAGCAGCCAGCAGCGCTCGATGCTGCCCGCCTGCACCAGATCCCAGGACAGGCCAGCCAGGTAGAGCATGTCCTTGAGCATGAAGCTGCGCATGAAGTCCAGTGGGGAGCCGCCCGCGCAGGATACCGCCAGCCGCAGCAGCTCCCGCTTGTACAGCTGCTTGAAGGCAGCCACCACCCCCTGCTCCAGCGGGGCAGGGATGTGCGCTCGGCTGCTGCCCTTGGACAGGAATAGCACCCGCACGGCCCCGTCAGGGGTCTGCAGCTCCTCCGGGGGACTGAGGGGCTCGGGCCAGAACCGCTTGGGGGTCTCCTCGCTCTCCTCCAACGTGGGCAACCTGGCGGCCCGGCTCGGGCAGGGCGGGTGTGCAACCAGCAGTACGGCCCGCTGTTGCAGGCAGCTGCGGCGCAGGTAGCGCCTGACGCCCGGGACGAACTCCTCGAAGAACCAGCCCCGCAGCAGAGGGCGACTGAGCCAAGCGTCTGGGCTGTAGCGGTATGAGGCTGGGAACTTGTCCTGGTTGTGGTGGCGCAGACTGGGCGGGTCTGGCAGCTGCCCGATGACCAGCGGCTTCAGTTTGTGGCTGCCAGTCAGATTAGCGGCCAGTAGCACCGTCACCCGGTCACCCCGCCAGCGACGGCTGCAGCCCCCAGCGCCCAGGGGTGCAGCTTGCTCCGGAAGCAGCTTCCAGTAGAGGCCGGTAACATTGGCGTTGTAGATCTGCTCGTCACCATAGCCGCCCTCCACGGCGGGCGGCGGGGCTGGGACGCGGCTGGGCAGGGGGCCGACGCCAGGGGGCTGTGTGGACTCCTGCTTGATCGGTGGGCCGGGCGCGGGGCCGACGGCCGGGGGCTCGGCCTCGCCGTAGATGCGCTGGCTGGAGATGCCGTGACGCTTCTGCCAACGCCAGAACCAGCCGTGGCTGGCCTTGAAGGTGCACTCGGGGCCGTAGATCTGGCGCGCGAAGGCCTCGGCCTGCGCCTGGATGAGCGGCCCCGACAGCGGCACGCCGTGCTGGCGCAGCGCCAGGAACCACGAGTACACGGCGCGATCGATCTCCTCCTCGTTGGCCAGCCTCATCTTCTTGCGCTGCGTGCCCACCTCTCCGCCCAGCTGCTCCAGGAACCAGCGCAACTTCGGCTCGTCCTTGAGCCAGCCGCGCAGCGTGCCGCCGGGCACGCCGAAGTCGCGGCACACGCTGGCCTGCCGCTCACCGCCCTTGACGCGCTCGATGGCCTGCAGCTTGTCCTTGATGGAGTAGGCCTTGCGGAAGGCCATCTTCATGGCCACGCGGGGTCGCGCGGCAGGGGCCGCGGCGGGCGCGGAGTTCCGCGGCGGCGGCGCGGGGCGTCCGGGCGGGGGGTGGCGGCCGCGGCGCGGGGCCGGGCCGGCCGGGGAACCTGCGGGATACATGGCAGCGGCCGCGGGGACGCGGGAGCCATAAGCCCGCCCTGCCGGCCGCGCGGGGCGGGGCGCTGGGGGCGGGACTGGCCGCGGCCCTCCCCTTTGTCTCGGCGGCTGGGGTGGTGGGGGTGGAGCCGGCGCGCTGGCCCCGCCCCCTGCGTCTGGCCGCGTTTGCCGGCCCGTCCGCCCACCCAGTCGGACGAGTCCATTGGGCCCGCAAATTCGAGGGGTGCCGAGCGGGCTGCGGTGCTGTTCGCAGCTGTTTGCGCCGGTTCCCCCAGAAGAGAACGAGCTCCGTGGGGCTCTTTGTGTGGCAACTGTCTTTGCAGCAGCGGAGAGGGTCGCGCCTGGGGCTCCGGCGGCGGAGCGGGGCGGGCGCACAAGTGGTTTCCCCCGCGTCCCAGCCCGGGTCGCGTGGTAGAGCCCGCGGCTTCATTTCCCGTGCGCGACCTGGGCGGCCCTCCCTTTCCTCCGCAGTCCCGCGCCGCCGAGCCCTCCTGCTCAGTCGCCGCACCTTTGACAGGCGTGTGAGTACCGCGGCCCGCGCGGAAGAAGCCGCACGCGCCACGCAGGCCTCAGGGGCCCGGGGGCGGGCGGCCCGGGCCGAGTTAGCGGTCCCGCGCCGTCAGGGACCGGGGCGCAAGTGCGGCCCGCGTGGAGGCTTAGGGGCCGTGGGCCAAGTGCGGCTCCCGGGCGGAGCGCAGAGGGGCGGGGCCCGCGGGCCACGTGGCCGGCTGAGCCCTGCGGCGGCCGCGGCGGTGGGAGCGCCAGGGCCGCCTGGGCCGGGTCTCGGAGGGTGGCGGGAATATCGTCCAGCTGCGGCCCGGGCCTGTAGGCCTTGCTCTGCGGTGTGCGCCGGCGCTGGGCTTCTGGCTGCGGGCCCAGCCTTCGTGGAAGCTTGACGGGTCCCGAATGGGGAAAGGAACGGGGACGCGACTGCCGAGGGACGGGGGTCTGGGCTTGGATGGAGCATCCGGACAGGAGGCGGTGTTGAAGCCAGGCTCTGGAAGGGAAGGTGATGCCTTCCGTAAAGAACATGGGTATTTGCAGCGGAAGAAGGAAAGGCTTAGGCTGGGACTCCACGGAGGCTCCCGTGTCCGCGGCTCCATACTGAAGGGCCCTCCCCCGGAGCCGTCGGGGGGGTCCCTGCTGCCGGGGGTCTCGTAACTTGGCCCTGGCTTGTCGCCCCTCTGGGAGTGGGCCTGGCCTGGAGCGCGGAAGGGCGTCTCAGCTTAGAGGCGCCGCGGGAGCAGCTGTGACAGCCTGGGCTCTGTGAGCCAGGACGTGGGCTGGCTCCAATGCGAGTCTGCGGTTCCCGAGCCCTCCTGTGCCCTCCTGTGCCCAGCCCTGAGGACAGAGCGTCCCCTGGAAAAGCGCCTTCTCATGGAGCGCCTGGAACGAACCCTCGGGAGCAGGTTCCCCGAGTCACCTTTGCGGAGCAGGGTTCTGGGACCCGTGCCAGTTGGGGGGTGGCCTCCAGGCTGGGCCACCGCCACCTGCCCTTGGAGTGGGGCAGCTGTGCAGTTTGTGGGAGCCTGGGCAGAGCGGGCACCCTGCCTCCGGTCCCTTTCCACCCTGGACGGCCGGGATGGCTGCCCCCGGAGAAGCCAGGCTGGGGCCCGGCCCCCTGCACTTTTGCCTTGGGGAGCTGCGTGAGGCTGCAGCATTCGGTGAAGGTGGGCCCACGCATGTGGCGGGTGTTCTGGGGAGTGGTTTCTTTTCTTTTTAATTTATTCTTCTAGAAAGAGAGGAACTTCAATTTGTAGTTCCACTTAATTTATGTATTCATTGATCGACTCTCGTACACATCGTGACCGGGGAGGGGACCGAACCCGCAGCCTTGGCGTATTGGGTCAGCGCTCTAACCAGCTGAGCCCCCTGGCCAGGGCGTCTGTGAATGGTTTCTTGAAGGTGGCGTTGTTCTATGAGATTGACGAGAAGAACACGTCCAGCACACGCCGGGCTAGTCAGTGTCAGCTTCTCTGGAGCTGCAGGCAGGAAATGCTGGCTTGGGTGTTTGTGGGGCCCTGCCCCCCGCCCCCCCCCCCCGCCCTTGGTGGGTGTTCTGAGATGACACGCAGGTGTTAGAAGTGGGCGGCAGGTGACATGCTGCTAGACAGGGACCCCCAGCTCCGCAGGGACTCGGAGACGTGCTTTCCTACCCCTGCCCCCCGGCTGGCTGAGGAAGCGATGAGTCCGTGAGAGGGTGTGCTGGTGGAGGCGGGAGACCCCGGCCGGACCGGGGTCCGGGTGACCTGCGCAGCCCCTTGTGCGCCCTGTGGGTGCAGGGCCCCTTCTGCCCACAGGGCAAGTTGCGCTCCTTGGTGGGGCGGAGCTCCCCGGGAGCCGGAGGTCTGAGAGCGTGTGTGAGGAGGAACTTGGGGGCTCTGGAGCCCCCAGAGGAAGGCAGTGGGCCTCCTGCACGCCTGCGCCGGGCTGCCTGTCCGTGAGGCTGCTCCGGTCGATGTCCCCGTGCTCGCTGCTGCCCGGGCGGGCGCTACAGACAGAACACGCCCGGGCAGTCCTGGGCGCAGCCACGCCAGCCAGAGGGCCCGGGGACCCCGGCCCCTGCTCGCCCGCTCCCGCTGCCCGTGGGAGGCGGGTGTCCTTTTGACCCCTGAGCGCACAGCTCCCAGGAGTGATTTCCAGGGGTGCTGTGGGCAGGGGGCTGGCAGAGGGGCTGCCCCTCCCAGAAACCTCGCCCACTCGCCCAGTGCTGCGCGCCCCCTGCACCTCGGTGGGCACGGCGCTGGGAGGCCACATCATCGCCTTCCTTCAGGGCCAGTGGCCTTCATCCGGGCCAGGCAGGGCGTGACCCCTCTGGGATCTCCCCTAGGGTGGGGCACTGAGAGGCCGGGTGTGCCTGGTGGGTCAGGGCTGGGCTGTTGTGGGGGGCAGTCCGGCTCATTGCCCTACAGGAGCGCAAGGCAGCCACCAGTGGGGACCCCCGAGGATATTTTGTCCCTGCTTTAGCGAGCACTCCTCCCCAAGCTCCAGGCTGGGACCACTGCTGCCGCCAGCAGAAACCCTGGACGGGAGGGTCCGGTTGCCCCCCAGGGAGCACGGGGCCCTTACTGGGGAGCTGTGGGCTTTTTCTGCGTCCTCCCAGGGAAGCGTTCAAACTCCGACTTGCTTTCCTCCTAGGACAGGTGGGTTTCCAGTTCAGCAGGCCCTCGGGAGGCGGGAGGGTGGGGACTCCAAGACTCCTGTGTGTGAGCTGCGGCGGGGGGGGGCTGTCGGGATGTCCCAGGAGATCTAGCAGCAGGGCAGGGGAGACGGGAGCCTGTCTGTGGGTGCCGCTGGCCCTGTCCCCGCACTGGCTTCATGCCCACCTTCCCCAGCTGGTCTCCGGGAACCTCACGTCCAGGAAGCTTGCGTGCGCGGTGGGTGTTGTCCTGCCGGGAGCTGGCCCCCGACCTCCTGTGCACTCGCACAGGCCGGCTGCCTCCCCTGGGAACCAGCCTCTGTCGCCGCCCCCCGGGGCACCTCGTGTGTCTTCCTTCGCCGCCGACTGGTGCCCCAGGGACCTGGGTGGCAGACCTCCCGCTGGGGGAGGCAGACAGGTCCTCAGGGCTCTGAGTCGCTGGGGGGTGCGGCGGGGCAGGGCGGTAGGTCTTGTCTGCCCAGAGGGCCTTCTGGGACTGGACGGTCCCCCAGCCCCTGGGACGCAGCACCCCGGGCCTGGAGCGACGGAAAGCTCCATCCTCTCGCACACAGCAAGGGAAGGCAGGCTCTGTCCTTGAGATGGGACCCTTTGGTGGCTGCCGAGGCCCCTGCAGCGGCCTCGTCGTCCTGCACCTCACTCTCCAGCCCGGACTGGGTGGCACTGCGGGGGCGGGGCTGGGCGGGGGTTCCCTCCACAGGCAGCTCCAGGGGCACCGTGGGGGCGCTCAGGCCCGAGAGGGGGCGGGTGGGCAGGCGCGTCTCCTCCTGGGTTTTGGTTCGGTGCTCGCCTCGGCTCCTCCTCCAAACTCGCGTGCATGCCGCCCCACCACGCAGCTTCCGAAAGGGCCCTTTGGCCTTCTCGGGCCGCCCTGTCTGACCGCCTCTAACCTTGCTGCTTTCCCTTCATGCTGTCCTAGGAGGTCAGAGCAAAAGTAAGTACCTCCCGTCCCACGTGCCCCTGTGCCCGTCACCTGAGCCGGGGACCCCGCGTAGCCAGGAGTGCCCCTGGGGGTGGGGCAGGCTGCTGGGCTGGTTTTCTCCTGTGGAGCACGAGGGGCTGGACGCACAGGGTTCGGTCTCCGATGCCCTGGGTTCAGGAGCTTCACTGGATGGAGCTTCGGCCCCAGCCAGCCCCTGGCCCCAGGCCCTGTGCTGTGCATGCCAGTCTGTGAGAAGTGGCTCTCCTCTGCTGAGCTGCGGCCCCTCTGAGCGCAGCCTGGCTGGTGTCAGAAGCCAAGGAAGTGTTTGACCAATGGGGTCCAGCAGGGCTTGGGCACTGGGGGCCAGCCTTGTGGGCAGGGCCGAAGGGGCTTGGCATTGCAGAGGGCAGAGGGCACGTAAGCCCTGCCTGGTGAGTCCCCTGCCCCCTCAGGGACAGTGAGTGATGTCACAATGCCCTGCTTCCCGGGCGCCAGCCCCTGCCTCCCGGCACTGCCCCTGCCGTCAGCCTGGCCTTGGTAAGTGCTGGCCCCGGGCTGGGAGCAGTGTGCCAGGGGTCAACCAGCACCTCCCTGGGACCTGCTGGGACCTCGGAAGGGGCCCGTGGCATGTCCCACATAAGGCCTCCAGCGTGCCCCTGCAGAGTACAAGGGGGCCTCTCCCCGAAGTACCGGGCAGGCGTGGGACCCGCTCCCGCGTCCCTCAGAGCAGCGGGGCTCAGGTCCCAGTGTTGTCTGGGGTGCTAGGGAAGGGCCAGAGGCCCGGCTCGGAGCCCTGTGCCCAGGTGAGTGAGGGGGGGTTTGCCCTCTGGGTGAAAGGGCCGCCCTGCCTCTGGAGGCCTTGTCCCCCAGGTCCAAGGGCCTGATGCTTGGCGGCAGGGGGGACCTCAGGGATAGTCTCAGCCCTGGGAGCTGGTCAGGATGCCAGCAGGTTTGGG